CCCCGCGCCCGGTCCCCGCGCTGTGCCCCGTCCCCGCGCCCCGCCCTCTTTTGTGTGCAGCCCCCGCCCCCAGGCCTGGGGCTGAGCCGCCTCTCCGCCCCGAGGGGGCTTTGTCTGCAGGCGTCGGGGCGTTGGCGCCCCCCCCCGTAGGAGGCGGGGAGAAGGGTGGGGCGCTCTGGGAAGACTAGGGTGGTTCTTCATTGTCTGGGTTTTCGGGGAGCACGTGCAACCCCAGCCCGCTCCCGCCATCTGCCCTCGGGTCCTGCGGCCCCCAGCGTCCCAGAAGTTAGGCACCAGCCCTTCACGGGAGCCGGCTGTGTGCGGCGGCGCTGGGGCGACGGCTTCTTCGGGCTGGCGTGGCTTGGGAGGTGCGGCTGGGAAGGCCTGGGCGCCCCCAGCTTAAAGAGATGCGGGGCCTGGGGAGATGGTGGCTCTAGTCTGGAGGAAAAGGGGCCGCTGGCCGCGGGGGCGGGGGCCGGCTTCCTGCCCGGGGCCTCCCCTCCCGGCCTCGAGGCTGGGTCTCCCCGCGCGTCTCCCTCCCCTCCTCCTGGAAGCGGTGGGAAGCCTGCCGAGTGGAAAACGTCCTCTTGGGCCAGCTGCAGTGCAGCAGAGCGCCTCCAGTGGCGTGTTTCGGGGAGAATTCGGAAGGAGAGGATCGTGGCCGAGCCCCGCCGCCGCCCCGCGCAGCTCGGGTGTCTAAGGTGGCGTCTCCCCCGCCTGCCAGACCACGCCGGCGAAATGGGAGATGGGCTTTGGGTTCCGGGAGGGCGGGGAGCTCACCTGCGGGGTGAGCGGAATTGCCAGCCGTTCACGCAGGCCGCTTAGCCTCTGAATGCATCAGAGCTGAGTCTTCATGAAATGGCAAAAATGGTAGATAGACGTTCTTAAAGAAGAGAAAACTTGAGGCTACCTTACCAGGACTTCACTAATGGAACTGGTGGCAGTGTACCCGGAGCCTTAATGAAATGTTTTGAGACAGACTTTTTCATACATTGGTTAGAAATGTTATTTTTATATTTTTTTTTGCAAGTATACGTTTCGGATTGACAAGCATATGTATGATCATCAAGGTAGTTTCCAAGGCTTCGCATTCATATTAATACTTGATTTCGTGTTATTATTACATATTCACTTTTAGGAACAAGGTTTTATTGCCTTACTTGCCCTGGGAAATTATTTTGTAAGGGAAAAAATCAGTTGGGTAAGAGATTGAGAATGTGTTTTATATGCTTATTGCGAAGTATTACGTTGCTTTGGGACCTACTGCTTCACCAACATCAAGACCTTTATATGTAAAGGTCAAGAATCAATGGGTCTAACTGCCTGCCGATAGTTTTTTATAACCTTGTGGGAATTTGGGGATGGCTTCTTTACTAGAGAAAGAATATCAGTGAAGTAATTCATCTTTTTCTTTAATTTACTCTTCCACAATGGGAAAAATAAACTAATTGTAATGTGTTTTAGTAACGTTTTAAGATCTACATAGTCCAAGGCACTACATAAACACTAATTACACTATGTATCTTAGAAGATGAAGTGTAACAAACTTTCCTCTTCCTGTTTTTGTATGGAAAGGACACAATTGAAGGAAACTTAAGATCGAAAAAATATAAAGTAATTATTTCTTATAGTGCAAGCGTAATGATTGACAAAAGCATGCTAACATGTCATCTTGTATTTCTGCACGGGAACAAAGAATTCTGTTGCTTTGAACTTGGGAATTCAGGAGGTAGCAGCATTTCTTTGAAGTCTTGACTTACAGTTAAGGTTAGAAGACAAAGGAGAGAGAAGATATTGCCTACTCAGGAATTCTGTATAATTATATATTGATTATCCTCATGTGGATACATTTGCTAAATGTAAAAATAGTTATTGTGATTATGAGTGGTTAAACCACTTTGGTATATCTAGATTTCATAATGAACTGAAGAGTTTTCTCTTTGATTGATCCTAGTAATGATTAAGGTACCTTACCTTACTAAGATACAGCCACTATAGTGGGGTTCATGGTGTGGCAAAAGGAAGCCAGACGTGTTCTCCATGGGAGGGATATACACATAAAAAGCACATAACTAAAGGACTTGGATTAGTGGTATGAGGAAAATAAACTGCAGGATGAAATGGTAATAAATGAAATCTGTGGGACCCTTTTTAGTTTAGGTGATGCACAGATGGTTTTAGCTACAGAGATCGGAAATACTCAAGTAACTGTTAGAGCAGAAACCTTGAGGTAGAATGAACTTGTCAATTAGTAAGACTAGAGAGAAAAACCTGTATGTATATGGGTGTCACATGAATATAATTTGGGGCTTCCCATAGGCTATGATAAAAAAGTTTGGCTTAAAAATAGTTATTTCAGATGTACACTGTAAATAATTTACGTTTTGGAATGAAAATACAGTTTTGAAGAGTCAGAGGGACTGCGGACTGAAAGGAGTGAGGATGAAAGGAAGTGAGCAGTATGAGGAAAGAACATGGTTAGAAACAGACTTAATAACCTACCTGGAATATGGCTCATAGATCCCCAACATTGCTACTTGTCTTAGTTTTTAGTTAACTCTGATTTCCTTCAGTAAGTTAATAAAATTTTATTGCTTGATATCGTGCCTGGAACATGTCCATTGAAGTGCATAGTGATTGACGTTGAGACTAGCACATCTAACATGGCTATTTTTCTCAGAGGAAGGTGACTTTCAGTTGAAAAGGTGGTTGGTTAGCTTAGTCTTTCAGGATATGCAAAGGAAATTCTAGATAGAAATTGGTTTGAGGAGTGGAAGTTTTATCAGCAAAGATGATTGTGAGTTGATATCTGGGCATGTTCTGAACTAACATTAAGACTGAAAATGTGTTGTAGATCTGGATTCTGAAGATTGTTGTATACAAAATTAAGGAAGTTTAGTTTTATGGTTCTGTTTTAATCCACATCCAGTCATCCAAAGTTGCTCTTTCTTTTAGTACCTTATGTCATGAAACCAAGAGTGTTCTGTTTCATTATGGTTATTTCTAACGAGTTATTTGACTGTTTTTCATTTCTTTTCTATATTACTGCTTTACAGATTGGGAAGTCATAAAGATTATTGAACTGAGGCATGACATCATGAATGCAGTGTTAATAACTGACAAAAATTCAGAATAGGTTGGAAGGAAAACTAGCTGAACTCTGTTAAAGCTTTTACAGTACTCATCAGAAATCAGTAGGGTCTGAACTAGTTCGTTGCTAGTTCTTTTGGTGAAAATGTAATAGATGAGAAGAATGTAAGAGACTAATTTTTAATTGGTTGTGAATCTCTAATTTTATAGTTGGGTTACAGAGAGGGCATGTGAATCAATCAATTAGTAGGACTTGGAGACTGTAGATATAAATACAAGGAGAAGAAAAGAATTTGACAGGCTTCACTCCACTCATAAAGTAAGGCCCCAATATTTCTTAGCATTTTCACACTGAGAACCAAGCCTTCAACGCATAAGCCCTTGCAGACACACTCTGAGATGACTATGAATTATCCCTTTCTACATTGCATTCATACTATATATGCTACTTGTCTGTTAGTAACTAAGTTGCCTTGGTTATTAGGAAAACTAATGGTTTCATTGTGCTTGTGTTCATGTAACTCTTACTTAAATAATAGCCCCCAAATGCAAGAGTATAGAGGCTGGCACAATTGTAAAGTGCTTCCTTTAAATGAAAAGGTGAAAGTTTATCATAAATATTTATGTTTAGGAAAAGAAGTAGTGTGTATGGCATCCACTGGGGATTTTTGGTACATACTCTCCAAATGTGAAACTACAAACAATAGGCCTTACTTGTTTACTTAATGTTGGACCCAAAGTATAAGGATAGTATTGCTAGCAAAAAGTAAAGCCTGTGAAGTACTTCTTTTAAGTGAAATGGTGAAAGTACTGAAAAGATATTCTGAGAGGAAAGAGAGGCACAATATAAGTCTAGCTGCTATTGCAGCAGATTGTTAAAATTGTTGTGTTTTTGTTGTTGGTCTCTTGCCTTGCTTAATTTGTTACTAAACTTATATATGTATAGGGAAAAGATAGAATACATACGTTGAGTTCATTATTATTCCTTCCACTAAGGGTCTTACAATAGGCCTGTGAGTAAGGGGGAACTACTGTGCTGTATTTAATGGGCTCTGTCTTGTTACTTTCATTGATTTATATACCTTTTTATGTTACAAATAATGTTTCTTGGGAAAACACTTATATGTATTTCTTTAGGACTACATGCTGCTTGCTGTTACATTTTTTTTTTTTTTTTGGGGTCCGGCCGTGGTGCCTGAACTCTGGGCCTGGGCGCTGTCCTTCAGCTCAAGGCGAGCGCTCTACCACTTGAGCCACAGCACCACTTCCGGCTTTTTTCTTTTTGCTTTATGTGATGCTGGGGAATCGAACCCAGGGCCTCATGCATGCAAGGCAAGCCCTCTGCCACTGAGCCACCTTCCCAGCCCCCTGTTACATATTTTTTAAGTAGAATAGTTCAAAGGATATTTTTG